TACGGTGATGCTTGGTATGAAGCGAGTCAGTGAATGCGTAGAGAGTGGCTTTCGGGCTGAGGTGTTGGAGTTGGCAGTCTTTACGGGGATCAAAGATGGCGGCCGTAAATGATGAGGAGTTCGTTCGGGGAGTCGCTCCACTAGTTCGACGGTGAAATCGGAACTACTTGCAATGGAGCGCGAAACAGCGGAGGAACGACTGCCATCATGTATCATTCCTTCGTGGTCGCTGTGGGGCACGCAATCAAGACTTGAGATGGTGGAAAAGCTTGTCGGGCGATCTGATGGAGGAGGTGTCGGGTTAGCCGGTCGGTTGAATGTTTGTTGTGACTTACTTCCATGAAGACGGATTGAAGTGCCCATGGCATGGGCGGTGTCAGAACTGCCCACAGATCTCAAAACGGGCCGATGGACTGAACGAGAAGGACTGTGATCGACGGAGACATTGACCCACGGTTCAGATCCATCCGCGGTAGGGTTTTGAGAATAAGATGAAGCCAGGTCATGTAATGATTCCGTATCTATAGTCATAGCGTGAAGATGAGCAGGATGCCGTATGTCGCCAATGGTGATGGGGGAGTGGTTCCCTTGAATCATTTTCGAAATCGAACGAAACAGGCCTACATGACTAGATTGGGGAGTTAAGGATGCAGCTCGCGAGGTTGAATGATCGGATGATACGTCAACTTGATAGTTTGAAGATGACTGCGAGCCAGAATTCGTCATGAAGAGTGCCTGTGACTGGGGTGTAATTGGATAATAGTGCGGAGATGAGTCTGAGGTGAAAGGCGCTGTCTCCGAAGTTGATCCATTTCCCGGCCTTTTGTTCTCTTTACGAGTGATCACTCGGAGGAAAGACCGCCTATTGTTTTTGTGAGTGGCCACCTTTTGCGCGTTAAGCTGTGCTGATTGATGCTCAGGTGGAATGACTTCCTCAAACAAGGCCCACATATCGTCGTTACGGCCATCAGGATTTACTGGCGTGGGTCGAAATTCAAATTCTTGATGATCGGCCGGCTTGCATTTGCAGTGAATCAGGACCCAGCTGACTTCTTTGAGCTCGTCATGACACCAGCCCGAACTGACTAAGACGTCAGCCCAAGCCTCAAAAAAGTTTTCGTCCACGTATATCGAAGGTAGCTCGATCGGGGTAGTATCATAGGAGAACACGGAAGGACTTCTGCTAGTCTTGATAAGTTTCTTTGACATGCTTTTTTTGGGCATAGGTGGCGCAATGAGAGGAGATGCGATCTTTCGGACGTTGGCATTGAGTTC